AAACCCACGGACTCAGGCAATCCACTCACCTCAGCCTCCCAAAGGCACGGGATTACAGGCTGAGCCACTGAGCCCAGCTGAACATTTAATTTCTTAAACTGACACATAATAATTGTACATATGCATAGGGTACATAGTGATATTTCAATACATACAATGTACAGTGATCGGATTAGGACAATTAGCATATCCAACATCTCAAGCATTTATTATTTCTTTGTGTTGGTAACATTCAACGTTCTCCTTCCAGCTATTTGAAACTATTTATTATTGTTAATTACATATTACCGTAATCCTACAGTGGGAAAGCGCACTAAAACTTACTCTTCCTGATCAGCTATAATTTTGAGTCCTTTAACAAATCTCTCCTGTCTCTCCTCCTAACAACTTTCCCATTCCCAGCCTCCAGTATCCCCTGTTCTACTTTTTACTTCTATGAGATTAACATTTTTTTGCTTCCAAAATGAGTGAGGTCATGTAGTATTCAACTTTCTGTTCCTGGCTTATTGCACTTAACATAATGTCCACTGTTCTCTACAGGGGCTGTACTAGTTGACATCCCACAAACAGTGTATAAGAGTTCCCTTGGCCCAGCGCAGTGGTTCACGCCTATAATCCCAGTACTTCGGGAGGCAAAGGTGAAAGGATTGCCTAAACTCGTAAGTTCGAAACCAGCCGGGACAACTTGGTAAGACCTCATCTCTACAATAAATTAAAAAAAAAAAAAATTAGCTGGGTGTGGTGTCGTGTGCCTGTAGTTCCAGCTACTTGGAAGGCTGACACTGAAGAATCACCTGAGCCTAGCAGGTTGAGGTTGCAGTGGCTGTGAGCGTACCACTGCACTCCAGCCTGGGTAACAGAGAACTTTCCAACTAAAAAAAACCCAAAAAAACCTCACAGTTCCCCCTTTACTCTATATCCTTTTTTGTCCTTTTGATAACAGCCATACTACCTAGTGTGAGATGATATCTCATTGTAATTTTGAGACACATGTAGGTCTTTAATCCATTTTGAGTTGATTTTTGTATGGGGTGCAAGGTGGGGGTCTAGTTTCACTCTTCTGCATGTGGATACCCAGTTTTCCCAGAACCTATTATTGAAGAGACAATACTTTTCCCAATGTGTGTTCTTGGCACCTTTGTCAAAAATCAGCTGGCTATGGATAACGTGAATTAATTCCTGGGTTCTCTTACTCTGTTCCATTACTCTATATGTCTGTTTTTATGTCAGTACCATGATGTTTTGGTAACTACAGCTTTACAGTGTATTCTGAAGTATGGCAGTGTGATTCTTCCAACAAAATAATTCTTAATAAATAACATATGTCTCGGGACTTTTTTCAGGGAAGGCAAAAATGCAAAAACAAGACACTGATTTCTGTTATTAAAATTAAATTCTAGCCATGCCCACTACACCAAAGGGAGAGAGCATTCACTAGAAACCCAAACCTCATCTGCATGCACTTACTTATGTAGCAAATCCTGACATGTCCCCCACAACTCAAAAAATAAATAAAATGACATTCTATCCCTTGTTTTTTTAAAATTAGCATATCCTGCTTCTAACTTGCCATAAAACCTACCTCTCTATAGAAATTAACATACTTCATGAATTTATAGGGTGTAAATTTCCAAAGGGGAAGACAGCTACATGCCATGTCTCTAGGCATCAACGGTCTAATTAGAGAAGCTAAATGCTCATCGAGAGCATAAAAATCTACAAAAGACAAATCTAAATACATTTTTATTCATCTTTTATCTATACAAAGTAAATTTTTTCAATGTACTACTAATGTAAGCTAACTAAACAACACAGTTCCCTTACATGTGAAATGGGACTAAAATGAAAACCTACTTCACAAGATTACTGTAAGGAATAAATGAGAGTATGTACTTAAGTGTTCAGCAGTAAACAAAGAGTAGCTGGCACAGAGCAGCTACCAATAAATGTCCATTTTTGGTTTTACTTTATACTGTAAAGTAGTGAGACTTAATACTAAGCCGTAATATAAATTCTGACATTAAGACATGGCTATTTCTAATTCCACTTTGATTAAATGACATGTGTTACAAAAGTTAACACTCCAGAAAATAGTTAATGTTTTCAACTGCAAGTTCTCTAATACAGTGATTTCTTACTAACACTTGGGATTTCTTCAAAGTTCAAACACTATTCTCCAACATAACAACAACAAAGGTAATAATTTTCTGGCATTCAGATATCATCTTAACAGAATGTTTGTTCTTTGCTTTCTAGCAAATTCTTAGTCATGAACCATTCTAACTGTTGCCCTTGAGTCTGACATTTAAAAATGGATTTCTGTCTTGTTTCTCCCATTACATTTCTAAGCCCTTTGGGGCCAGAGAACCAGATCTCATACACTTCTTTATATTCCCACAATACCCGTGGAGCAAGGCAGTCAATGAGTAGGAGAAAAAATGAAGTGGCGACATGTCCAACTTCATTTCAAAGCTTCAAAATGGCAACTTGCATTCAGTACAATTCTATGAATAACTTATTCACAACTTCTAAAAACTAAACTTTGGCAAAAGAAAATATAAAAGGCAATTTCTTTAAGATGTATGAATGTTAGTAAACACACATCCCATTTGTAGTCCATTACAGAAAATCTAAAACAGTAACAAGACACTGAGGGAATGTTTCAATGCAGTTAACCCTGTGCATCATAAAAGTTATCACAGAATCTAAAGTAGAAGCTTTAAAAGTAGCAAATTTCTAATAGCTGGCAAGTATTATTATCTTTTCTTATAAAGACAAGGTCTTGCTATTTTGCCTCCAATGGTCTCGAATTCCTGGCCTCAAGCGATCCTCCCACCGTGGCCTCCCAAAGTACTGGGATTACAGATGTGAGCTACCACGCCCAGTCGGCAACCATTTTTATTCATGTGATTTCTGTTACAATAATTGATAGGAAGAGAAAAGCAGGCATGAAAAAACTACTTAGTAACTTCTTATAAGGAATATAAGATATATAAGCATATGTTGATTTAGTACTCCAGTTAAAGGAAGTTGTTTTAAAAAAACAGTAGGCACCGGGTATCAGATATTCCATGGAAAAAGGACCAACAAAATATAACAAGCAAAAGCTCTAGATTAGCAAAATATCAAGCTTGAAATGTCGACACACACCATCTAGTCAGGAAGCTATGTGAGATAAGGCAACGTGCACTGCTCACTCTAGAAGGGTCTCCACTTACATCCCTCAAAGTTGTTTTATCTCTGCCTCACGTACAGGGACATTATGAAAGAACCTTTCATTACGTGACTCCAGCGCAGGAGGAAAGCCAACATGATTCTGAATGAACACATTTTCCTCCTGGAGAAACTAGTCAGAGCACACTGCTCCACAAGAAGTGAGCTAGGGAAATGAATCATTTGCTAAAAAGTTCGCTTGCAAGTCGCCTTACTGTACTGTGGCTTGCGAAAATTTGCTTAGGTGTTGGAAATAGGGAGAATTAAATTTAAAGAAAAACTAAATGAGCATCAAACAAAGGCAGCACTGTGCCATGTCACAATACAGGCTGGGAAGGAGAACTGGGTTCCTGCCCGAGGGCTGCCACAAACCAGCTTTGTGATCTTGGACAAACCCAGTAACATCCAGGGGCTTCAGTTTCCTCTTGTCCAAGAGACCTGGATAATATCTCCATGGTCCTTGCAGATCTCATCATTTGTGAATATAGCACTAAAAATTCCTTAAAAAGCACCAGTTCCTCTCCCTGTATAGTAACAAAAATTCTCAAACTGTAATCTCACTGACTGTTATAAACTACACCTACGTATGTGGGATTTAAATGGCCACGCCTTTAACAAAGGACTATAAACTCGGGATGGTCTCAAAGGAAGAGGGCTAAAAAAGAAATCTCCCCTGTCTTCCATATTCAAGCCATCAAATTTCAAATTATAATGGAATTACATTACATGTTCAAGAGTGAAAGGAAAGTAGAGAGAAGCACGAGACAGAATGTCAGTATTTTAGGCTGTAAGGAACGACTTTCTTTATCCACTGAGAGAAAAGTAGATCAAAACTATTACTTTGGGGAAGAAGTTCAAGTTTCACATCCTCTCCAATAACTAGGAGAGTATTCTGCCTACATGTCACTGTCTCCATGTCTCCAGGTCTATGGCGGTCACATTCACCCGAGGTGTTGACTGGCCAATTCACAGTTCTGCCAGCAGGCACAGCAGATCAAGCTCTGCCAGGGCAACTGTGCGCTTGGCAGGAGGGGTGGACCACAGGTGTAGCCAGCCATTCCAATGTAAATTACATTATTCTCTGTCATTTCTTTTTTTTTTTTCTTTGAATTGGAGTCTCATTCTGTCACCCAGACTGGAGTGCAGTGGCACACTCCCAGTCACCGCAGCCTCGATCTGCTGGGCTCCAGCAATCCTTCCGCCTCAGCCTTCCCAGTAGCTGGAACTACAGGTGCGCACTACCACGCCTGGCTAATTTTTTGATATACTGTAGAGATGAGGTCTCGCCAAGTTGCTCAGGCGGGTCTCAAACCCGTGGGCTCAGGCAATCCACTCACCTTAGCCTCCCAAAGCGCGGGATTACAGGCTGAGCCACCAAGCCCGGCTCTATTTTTAACTCTCAAAAGTTTTAAGCACACATAAGTACATTTAAGTATCTTTAATTTAAAGGAATCTCATAGAGCAAAATTTTATGTTTAAAAGCAGGAATCCAATCAGGCAGAGTAGTTCACTCCTGTAATCCCAGCACTTTGGGAGGCTGAGGTGAGATGATTGCTTGAGCCCAGAAGTCCAAGACCAGCCTGGACAACAGAGTGAGATCTCATCTCTATAAAAAATTTAAAAATTAGTCAGTTATGGTGACATACATCTGTAGTCCCAGCTACTCGGGAGGCTGGGGTGGAAAGATTGCCTGAGCTCAGGAAGTTAAGACTGTGGTGAGCTGTGATGGTGTTAACTCCAGTCTAGGTGACAGTGAGACCCGACTCAATAAATAAATAAATACAAACAAATAAATAAATGTAGATATCCTCTAGTCATATAAGTAACATTAATTTCTTGATGACTTTGGATTTTTACTGACTAAATGCTCCTAAACCGAGGCGTTTCTTTAGTTAATCTAAGATCAAAAGTAATGCTTTCCACAGAAGGCAGGGTTTTAGTGCTAGAACACTGCTATCACATAGACTTTCCTTCATTCCCTCAGTCATTTGCTTCTTCTCACACCTATGTATGTAGGTTATCGCATGAACAGTGATATGGAAAAATGACTGGACCTTATTAAAATAGAAACTAATGTTCGACAGAAAATGGTCAGGATTCTCTTTTTTATCCAGTCACTGGAAGAATTATTTGGTTTATAAGAGACTGTCTTTTTGTTATTTTTTTAAACAAATATCTCTTTTATCTTCTGTTAATTCCCAATTTTAACATGGTATTAAGATAAATTCCTAAGATTTGGGTGTCATAGAAAAGACATCAAGACAAAATAATTTTCATGGGAGGCTTTCAGGTCTTTCTCAGTTACAGTAAAAGCAAAACATGTTTCCCTGAGTTTGCTTTTTTAAACACTATCCAACAAACCCAAAAAACTGTATGTTTTAACTTGTCCTTGGAAAGAGAAGTTGAGAAGTCAAAGGACTCTAGCACATGTTTACTTCTTAGCAGGATGGTGAACATCAGTGAAGTCATCATTAATCATAGCTGGATTCCTCGGCAAAGATGTTGGCATTGGCACTCTAGCCAGTCACCAGCGATGACTGCAAGTAACTCTAGGACACTCACGCCTATTTGATTTGGAAGAGAATAAGGAACATAATGATGCCCAAAGTGTACTGTTCGCCTTTGCCTTTCTTCGTCTCGGGGCCTTGCAACATCACAAGCCCAGCTGTTAACCAGATGTAAGCATATGAACCACAGAGTGTGAGAAAAAAGTACTAGCACTAATTCCATGGAACTAGTCACGTGGTCATTGTAGAAATAATCAGCATTAGCATACTACAATATTTGTTTTGTTCTTGAATGTTGTAACCCTCTAGGGAAAAAGTTATCTTTGTTTGGAAATGATTAAAAATGAAAGTACATATTATATATCTTTGCTTAAAAACGGTGGGAAATGGATTTGTTGAAACCATATGGAAAGGAAGAGGGAATCAATTAAAAACAGAAATCTAATAAATCTAAAATATTTCCAAATGAAATGCTTGTGGTAAGCTAATTTCTTGTAAACACTGCACTCAAGTCACTTGAACAATCCCAGATGGTGAACTAACTTTGTGGTCTTATAATAAAAGTCAGCCAAAAAAACTAAAGGGACTACAACTTTATCATCAATGTAGTGGGAAACATGAGATCCATAATCCACCAATATGTTCCTTTTGTTCTTTGCAAAATGTAAGAGATTTGTTGAGTTTGACTAAACAGTTTCAGGTAAAATTTAAATCTGTGTATGTTAAATGGAGAAATAGAAACTAATATGACAATACTTCAGTTAAAAGTGAGGTGAAGTCTACAGTTATTTATATATGCTAGGAAAATAAAAAAGTTTCTAAAAAGGCTACAACTTTGAAATGTAGTCTAAGGTCCAATATTTTAAATGACCATGAACTTTCTTCAGTTGACATTTGTAGGATTTTCTTTTTTTTTATTGTTTTTTTAATCACCCAGCTCAAAATGTCACATGTGCAGAATTTTATTCAAGAAAAAGTTAAAACCTTTTAAGTTGGGTTACAAATAAAAGCTTGTGATTTATGCACTGACTAGCAATTCTACCTGGTGTAATAAACTTCCACCTTACCTGCTCCACTGTTAACAATCCATCAGAAGATTCTGGCATAGGCTGCATGGGTAGAAGCTGGCACAGCGTGCCTAAAAGTAAAGCAACTTCCTTCATACTTCTCCAACAACATACCAGCACCATCTGAGCAGTTACATCACATGTTTTTCCTTCGTTACCTAAAAAAAAAAATAAAAAAAAAACAAAACTATTGCAACACTAGACACTCTTGATTACTCACATCTCAGGTTTCTTAGAACAGGCTTATTCATAATTTCCCCAAGAATAATCTGCTTGAACAAACCAATTTGTCATGTTACATTTATTCAGGAGGAATTAACAAACATTTGTCAAGCATGTGTTATGAGAAATCATACTAACTTTTAAAAATTTATTATTTCAAAATAAATTTGAAATAAGCATTACTTACTTTTTGAAATACTTATTATTTGAAAATAATAAACATTATTTATTTTTTAAATAAATATTATTTGAACATAATAAATTTGAAAATAAACCAATACTGTTCCAAACTTAAGTCTCACCTTTGGAAATTAATAAAACAAACTCTGCTTATCTGTCTACAAAGTATTATACACATGCCTATAATAAATATACTTATTTATTTTAGTGACGATGGCTGTTATATCAGTCAAGGAGGAGATAAAACTTTTAAAATAAAAAAATGCTAATTATTTTAAAATATACTTAAAGCCCATAGTCTATATGCTATAATTATCCTCTTTTATTCTAGTTCTAGGAGTATTTTAGTACTAAAATTTTTATATTTATTTATTTATTTCAATAGCTTTAGGGAGTACAAAGAGTCAAAATTTTTAAAAATCTAAGACAAACTATTAAATTAAAAAGGCAAGTTAGCCGGGCTTGGTGGCTCAGCCTGTAATCCTGCGCCTTTGGGAGGCTGAGGTGAGTGGATTGCCTGAGCCTGCGGGTTCGAGACCCGCCTAGGCAGCGAGACCTCATCTCTACAATAAATAAAAAAAAAAATCAGCCGGGCGTGGTAGGCGCATGCCTGTAATTCCAGCTACTCGGAAGGCTGAGGCGGAAGGATCGCCAGAGCCCAGCAGGTCGAGGCTGCGGTGGCCGGGAGCGGCCACTGCACTCCAGTCTGGGTGATCGGGCGAGACTCCAACTGAAAAAAAAAAAGGCAAGTCGACAAAATGACATTTACAGGGTAATCCCATTTGTGTTTTTAAAAAGTTCACTAAACTAAAAGGATTAGTGTACAGAAACATAAATACAGAGTATGAAAGGAACGACTACTGCACACTGAAGAGGGAAGACATGGTACTGGAGAGGAGAAAGGAGGATTTTTTTTTTAATTCATATTTACCTCTTTTATCTAGAACTATTACAAAGAAATATATTTATGTTATTTTGAGTAATTTTTAAAAATATAAGTACAAACAGAACTTTGTGTAAGACAATATCCCCATCTAGTGGAGAATGTAGAATATGTAATAAATCACTAAGAAATGTGGTTTCCGATGACCCTTTTACAGGAATATTGAAAATTCAATAATAGCTAAGGATAAGACAAAAGAACTCAAATTCTGGAGGCCTGGTACAACAAAAGCAACTGACATTTTTCTGAGTAATAAGGTTTGTTTCCTTCAGGGTTGCTTGGCCTGAAGAACTCCCACGGCAGACAACAATGAACCAAACTGCTAGAAGGTTGATGCCACCCAATCCAGGCTCCTTGGGCATCACTGCTCTGACATTACTTGAGCTGTCAAGGCAGGTTTCAACACGCAAAGGCTTTTTGTTGTAACACCTGTTATATGCTGCACAGGGCACCTCATTTTCTGGCAAAAGTCTTACAAATTCTTTTCTTAAACCAAATGATTTCCAAAGCCAAATTTTTTTGAAAAATCTTTATTTTCTAGAAATGTTCTACACAGATCTACAACTTGCAATTTACTATACAAAAGGGGCATTCTGAACATTTTACTTGTCACTTAAACACTAATTATAATATGAACTTTATACATATGTTACCTTTGATTTCTGCAGAAGTATCAATGTTGGTCACACTGGCATTCAAATCCTCCAAATCAAAGCTATCACAGTCTTCCAATATTTTGGCTTGGTTGAAGTAATCGTTAGTATCTCGTGGCTGAATCTCATTCAGAATCACCTGTAAGCGGTTTGCTGACTCTGAGGGAAAAAAAATGTGAGTATGGGAAACGCCAGTACCACATCATACACACACGTCCCTTGGGGGTACCTGCCCTCAAAAAATTTGTAATTCTCAATACTTCACAATCTGCTCCCTTAGAAGGGACTGAAGGGTGGATAGTATGAAAATTAACCATGAACTTATTTACATGGGGTCTTCATGACACTTGAGTACACTTTTAAAATGTGGCTATTTTTTATAGGCTGAAGTTATATCAACAACAAAACCCTGAAAACTGTACATAGGATGAACGAAGAGTGCTATCTCATTTACACTGCTTTGCTTAATGGTGTCTAAGAACCCCAAATATGGGGCTCAATCATGTGAAAGAAGTGCAATCAACTTTTGTTTTAAGACATTGTTTCCCTATCTACAATATAAGTTATCAAGGCTTAAAGACAAAAAGGTAAAAGAGACATTTTTACAAAATCAACAACAAAAACAATCTTTTATAACACAGGAATACAATAAAGACTCCATACTTAGGCTTGAAATGTATTATGTAATATACTGCTTTCTAAGTATGATTTATAGTCCTAGTATTATATTATAAACTCTGTGAATGCAACATTTTGCTCACTACTGAGTCGCAAGTGCCCATAATAGAAACTGGCTCAAGGCAGAGGTCCAGCAACATGGGCAGAAGGAATGAATGGACAGCAAGGTAATAAGGAGTTAGCCAGGCTCCGATTGTCTAAAAAGTAGTAACAAGCCAGGCTCGGTGGCTCAGCCTGTAATCCCATGTCTTTGGGAGGCTGAGCTGAGTGGATTGCCTGAGTTTGTGGGTTCAAGACCCACCCGGGCAACTTGGCAAGACCTCATCTCTACAATAAATCAAAACTAGCCGGGTGTGGTAGCACGTGCCTATAGTTCCAGCAACTTGGAAGGCTGAGGCGGAAGGATCGCCGGAGCCCAGCAGGTCAAGGCTGCGGTGGCCAGGAGCGGCCACTGCACTCCAGTCTGGGCAACAGAGTGAGACTCCAACTCAAAAAAAAATAAAATAAAATAAAATAAAAAACAGTAACAGGTAATTATTTGAAACCAATCAACAAATCAGAGAACAGGAATTTATGACACACTCGTTTTAATTGACACTATGAGAAATACAAAGACTCAGATTACTATCATGACAATTCTACCAATGTGTTATGTTCATTTGTTGTTCCCCTGAAATTTTGCAGAAAACAAATTTCAACAGTCATGAAAAAGTAACACTGGCCCAAACAAGAAAGCATGCAAAGACCAAGAAAAAAAGAAAAGATCAGAGAATAAAAGTTTAAGGATCCTATATATTCATTTAATAGCTTTCAGAGGAGATTTTTTTAAAGAAATTCAGAACGCACAGCAGACAACATGGTGAAGAAGCCAGAAAAAATGAAAGCATCCAGAGGTTAAAAAAGAGAGGGAGGTTTGGTATGGTGGCTCAAGTCTGTAATCCCAGCACTTTGGGAGGCCAAGGTGAGAGGATTGCCTGACCACCTGGGCAACTTGGCAAAACCTCATCTCTATCATAAATCAAAAAAATTAGCCAGGCATGGCAGCACACACCTATAGTTCTGGCGACTTGGAAGGCTGAGGTGGAAGGATTGTCTGAGCCCAGAGGGTCGACACTGGGGTGGTCATGAGCATGCCACTGCACTCCAGCCTGGGCATGCCTTGCTAAGCTATGGTGTAGCCATGTGCTCTTTGAGCTTTGGCCATGTCATACTTTCTTAAGCTTCGGCACTCTCCCCTACCTTGAGGAGGTGAATCTTCTCTTTCTCTTTCTCAAATTTACTTTCTACATAAACTATATTTTCTAATCTAAAAGAGAGAGAGAAGGCTGAATTAAGGGAAAAAATGACAGTTTTTGAAACCAGCTGATATTTTAAACTTTTTAAGTAACAAACAGAATGTTAGCATACACTGCACAATCTACTCATAACAGGTAAAAGAAATATTCAAGATTTCTCAGAATACACGGTACCTGTCTCATCCAAATATTGGCTGTAAGGCTGCATGTTCCTCATTCTCATGTACTACTTAAGAAAAAATCTAAAAAAAAACTAAGACATCAAAATTTGGTATTTAGACTAACATCAGCTTAACAAATAACTAATCTAACTCAGCGTTAATAAAGAAAAAAACCTAAAATTTTCTATGTAAAACTCCATGTTACTCTATCAGCCCAAGGTACTTCAGTGTATAGCACAGGGTGTGTTTATAATATACTCAGTGTGTTTTCAATACAAGCTTCTCATTTGCACTCCAAAATGTACTTACAGACTTTTTTTTTTCTTTGAGTCGGAGTCTCACTCTGTCACCCAGGCTGGAATGCAGTGGCATGCTCACGGCCGCCACAGCCTCGACCTGCTGGGCTCAGGTTATTCCTCTGCCTCAACCTTCCAAATAGCTGGAACTACAGGTGTGCACCACCACACCCAGCTAATTTTTTTTTTAATTGTAGCAATAAGATCTCACCATGTTGCCCAGGTTGGTCTCGAACTCATGGGCTCAGACAATCCTCTTACCTCTGCCTCCCAAAGTGCTGGGATTACAGACGTGAACCATCAAGCCCGGCCCACTTACAAACTTTACTTCAACAATAAATGTACATTTGTCTTATCTTTCTCTGTGTCCAAAGGAGCACTCCATGTTAGTAAACACGTTGAGTATCCTTCATCTAAAATGCTTGGGATGAAAAATGTTTCAGATTTCAGATTTTCTCAAATTTTTGAATATTTGCATTATACTCAGTGGTTGAGCATTGTAATACCAAAATCCAAAATGCTCCAATGAGCATTTTCCTTTGATCATCACATTGGTGCTCAAGAAATTTTAGATTCTGAATTTTCAGATTTGGGATGCTCAACCTATATATTGTAAAACTCCATTTACCCTGGGGTAAGAGATACCTTGCTGGTAAGAGATCACCTGGTTTGGGATTTTTTGGCTATTTTTTTTTAAAGATGTGGGGTACAATTCAGGATTAGATATACAAGTGGTCATAATCATACAGGTAAAGTTTGGGCCTCACTTTGGTCCCCACTTTGCCTGGTTTGAGATCAGGTACCCTTATTGATATTGTGTCCCCCACCCTTGGCTATTTTTAAAATAGTAGTAAACATTACTTCAAAGAAGCAGAAATACTCTAAATAACAAAAATGATTTATTTTCCCTTCAGCTTAGCTTTTATATCTCACCCAAAAAATAAGTAGGGGGAGAAAAAGGAGAGAAAAATGTTAGTCAACCCACAGCACTCCAGCCTTCTTTGTCTGCTGACCTGAGTCTGTGTCCATTGGGATGAGGCCTTCGGGGGAAGAGCTCTGAATGACTGGTGACACCACAGCAGAAAGCCTGTACGACAGGGAAAGGAGCTTGTCCACCACAGGCTTCCACTCACCTACCAGCTTCAGGCTGCTACAATAAAGACATGGGAGAAATGTGTACGATAAGCAAAAATCACATTTTAAAAATAAAATTAATAGACAAAAGGAGTCAGAATAATTTGCTTCAAAACTGTGCAATACATAAAACAGACACATCTAGGTAGATGTTTAAATCCAATTTTCAGTGTTCTTCAAGGGACCAGGCTACTTTCCTTTCCAAGAACACATTCCAATATGATGTTAAAGCTCAGAGAAGAGTGTGTTTCTGAGGCAGGAGACAGCAGTGGAAATGCTCATGGCCACTGCTTTTCTCAGTCATGGTCTGACCATGCTGCTCCTTGAGCCATGGTCACCACATTTCCTTGCCTTGGCCTCCTTGCCTGCCTTGAGGAGGTGAATCTCCTCTCTCTCTCTCTCTAATTTACTTTTTAAATAAACTATATTTTCCAAACTAAAAAGAAAAAGAAATGCTTACTTCAGAGGTAACTTCTGCAGGACTCCTGTTATACAGTGGACTCGCCCATACATTGGAAATGACGCTGCTGCCTGAAGCAGGGAATGTTCAGCCTGAGAAATTTCTTCACCAAGATTTTCCATCAAGCATTTGATAACTAGACAAAGCAAACAGAAAACCACAGTAATACAGGTTTTAACACACATGAATGTGTGCACAGCAAAAGAGTTCCCATGAAAATCCCCACCTCAGGTAAACTTAGAGGTTTTGATTCAAAAAGAGGTCTTTCTAGATTATCCCGCCTGCCACGCATTTGTAGTTAAGGCAGAACTGAGTGACCCTAACTGCCAGCATCCAACCCAGCATTCACTCGCAATCATTCCTCCTAGATATCCTCTAGCTGGGGCATCAAACCCTGGACTCACGTGTCATGTACCATCTGGACAACGGATGACTTGCCTATTTGTTTATTTTTGAGTTGGAGTCTCACTCTGCCATGCAATAGCATGCTCACGGCCACCACAGCCTCCGCCTACTGGGCTCAGGAAATCCTTCGCCAATAGCCTTCCAAGTAGCTGGAACCTGGCTAATTTTCTGATTTGTTGTAGGGATGAGGTCTTGCCAAGTTACCCAGGCTGGTCTCAAAAACACTAGACTCAGGCAATCTTCTCACCTCTGCCTCCCAAAGCGCTGGGATTACAGGCATGAGCCACTGAGCCTGGTGCAGATGGTTTTTTAAAATAACAGCTTGGCTGAGCAGACTGGTTCAAGCCTGTAATCCCAGTTCTTTGGGAGGCCAAGGCAAGAGGATTGCCTGATCAGGAAACTGAGACCAGCCTGGGCAACTTGGCAAAACCTCATCTCTACAATAAATCAAAAAAATTAGCCGGGCATGGTAGTACGTGCCTGTAGTTCCAGCTACTGGAAGGCTAACGCGGAAGGATGGTCAGAGCCCAGCAGGTTGAGGCTGTGGTAGCTGTGAGCGTACCACTGCACCCCAGCCTGGGCGACAGAGTGAGACACCAAATCAAAAATAAAGAAACAACAGCTTTATTGAGATGTAATTCACATACAATCCATACATTTAAAGTGTATACGTCAGTGGTTTTTCTAATCATCACAGATATGAACAACCATCACTACAGTCAATTTTAACTCTCCCACATGCCCCCCAGAAAAACCCCTTACCCAATAGCATCACTCCCCTCTCCATAACTGTAACCTTCCCCAGCCCAACCAATGCTAACCTATGTTCTGTCTCTATAGATTTGCCTATTCTGGGCATATCGTATCAATGAAATCATATAATATGTGGTCTTTAAGGACTGGTTTCTTTCACTTAGTATATTTTCAAATTTCATCTTGCAGCAGGTATCAATGTCATTCCTTCTTGTGGATGAAAACGTCTGCCACATGCATGCACTACATCTTATTTATTCATCTACCTATTGATGGACATGTGGATTCTGTCCACTTTTTGGCTATTATGAATAATACTGTTATAAACATTCTTGTATATGTCTTTGTTTAGACTTTGTTTTCATTTTTCATGGGTATAAACTTGTTACAGACTGACTGCATGTGTGTCCTTCTCCTCACCAACATTAATAACCTTCAGTGTGATGATATTTGGAAATGGAGACTTTGGGAGGTTTAGATGAGGTCCTGATGTTAGGACCCATGGGATTAGTGTCCTCCTAAGAAGACAGCCCAGACCTTGCCCTCTCTCTCTCTCTCTCTCTACCATCTCAGCACACTACAAGGAGGAGGCCATCTGAGTGCCAGGAGGGGACCCTCGGCAAGAATTGAATTTGCCAGCACCTTGATCTTAGAATTTCCTGTCTCCAGAACTGTGAGAAATAAATGTCTGTGTTTAAGCCAGTCTATGGCATTTTGTTACAGCAACCCAAGCTGTAGGGTCATATGGTAACTCTGCTTAACCTTTTGAGGAACTGTCATACTGTTTTTCAAAGCAGATGTACCATTTTACACACCCATCAACAGTAGATGAGGTTCTACTTTCTCCACATCCGCATCAGCACTTGTTATCACCTATTATTTTAATTACAATCATCCTATTGGGTGTGAAGTGCTTCCTCATTGTGATTCTGACTGACATCTCAGTAAATGCTGCTAATGTTAAACATCTTTTCACGTGCTTATTGTTCATCTGTGTATCTTCTTTGGAGAAATGTCAGACTCTATACATTTTTTAATTTGGTTATATTCTTTTCTTGGTGACTTGTAAAAGTTCTTTATATATTCTAGAAACAAGCTGGTTATCGGACATAGTGTATGCAAAGATTCATTTTGCAGGTTGTCTTTTCACTTTCCTGATGGCATTCTTTGATGCCCCCAAATTTTAAATTGCAATGAAGTCCAATTTACCTATTTTTTACTTTGTTTTGTTATTTGCTCTTCAGCAGTCATATCTTAAAAAACGCTGTTTAAACCAAGATTACAATGACTGGCACCCACGTTTTGACTTTCATAGTTTCAGCTCTCATATTTGATCTATTTTGAGGTAATTTTTGTATACAGTTTAAGGTAGTGAGTCCAATTTCATTCTTTTGCATGTAGTTATCAAGTTATCCCAGATGTTTCCCCTCATGCCTTGGAAGAAGAGAGCTATATTTTAAATTTCAGAGTTGTATACAAACAGTAAATTACCAACATTCAGACTATACCAAGAACTCCTAAGAATTAACAGCAAAAAGACAACCTCAATTTTAAGCTCAAACAATGCAACAGAGGACATCAGTAAGCATTTCACAGAAGGGGAAAAAGAACTGTTGAGAAGTAAAGGTGAAAACTAATTACATTAATGTCAGAAAAATGCAAAATGAAAATACAATGAGACACCATTTTATAGTCTGCAAATTTATAATCCCGACAATAGCGAATTATGGTGATGATGGGATGTAACAACCCTAACTTGTTGGTGGGATTGCCACTGGAAAACCTCTTTGGCATCATGTCATAAAGGTAAAGATGAACATACTTCAAGACAAGTTTATTCCATTTTTTGGTTTACCATAAACTCTTAGACATGTGCATTAGGAGACATGTACAAGTCAAGTATCCCTTATCTGAAATGCTTTGGGCCCGAAGTTTTTCAGATTTCAGAGGTTTTTGGATTTGGGAATATTTGCATCATATTTACTTACCAGCTGATCATCCCAATGCAAAAATCTGAAATCCAAACGGTTCAAAGCATTTCATTTGAGTGCCATGTTTTCACTGAAAAAATTTTGAATTTTGGAGCATTTCAGATTTGGGATGGTCCACCTATCTACAGAGGACCTACCTGAGAATGTTTACATTGGCATCATTTATTTAGGGGGGAAAAAAGGTCCATCAACAGAAGAATGGATTAAGAAATTGCAGTAAATTTGCATACAAACAGTACATTGAGATATTCAAAAGTATGTAAAACAAAATAATATATTAGCAATATAGAAATAGGTGGTAAAACTACAAAGAAAAAACAAGATGATAGATAAAGGAACGACTTCAAAGACACATGTTGCTGTACTACTTAAGATGAATGTTACTTCCTAGCCGTGAATAAAATTTGTGAAGTTTTTTTTCTTTGAGTCAGAGTCTCGCTCTGTTGCCCAGGCTGAAGTGCAGCGGCACGATCACAGCTCACTTCAGCCTCAACCTCCTGGGTTCAAGCAATCCTTCCGTCTCAGCTCCTGAGTAGCTGAGACTACGGGCATGTGCCAACATACCCAGCTAAATCAATTTTTTGTAGAAACAGGATCTATATTGCCCAGGCTGGTCTTGAACTCCTGGGCTCAAGCAATCCTCCTGCCTCAGTCTCCCCAAGTGCTGGGATTACAAGCATGAACCACTGCACCTAGCCAAAACATATAAAGCTTTCATAGATTTGTTTTTATATGCTAAATATATAAATAATTAAATCTTATATATTTAAATATCCTTTGTATGTCTGAAATATTTCATGAAGTGCTAAAATGTCTTGAGTTGAAAACCTTTATGTGAAGCCTGCACTCGCCAGGCCACCTCAATGTCAGTCCTCTTTCTATATCATCTTAATACGGTCTCCTGAACTCAGCCCTAAAGCAATTTGAGAGAGCAAGCATCATCTTCCACGGCACTGTCACCTCTCTAGCCCAGGTCAATGACCACATTCCCACCAGAACTGCCCATTATCCCCTACTTTTCTCCATTACTGTTTTTCTTTTTCATAGTTTTTTCTACCATCAAGAATCTGTTGAATCAATAGATCTAAACCATTTCAGATTCTAGGTTTCGGAACTGGCTATGGGAAGAGTAAAAGGCAAGGGTATAACAGTCAAACAGCCCTTTGCACTCGATGCCCCCTGAGGGGACCTGCTAAATCTAGCAAATCACTCTGATGTCCCCTCTCAGGGGACATAAAGCAATTACTAATGATTATACAGGACAAACTTAAGCCAGCACAAATTTCTCAAAAATTGTGTATTTCCTTGAAGTTTCCATTAAAGGGCACAAAAAAGCAAATAAAGAGATGGAACACATACTGAGATATGATCAATCAGTTGAAAAGTGGTTTTTAGGAATTGTAAGTGTGTCCTTCCACACTGTCTCCAAACAACAGATTAGACAATAAATTAAATATTATTAATGTGGGAGGAAGAAAACGAGACTGCATTGTCTGTTTAAATAGAAAAACACCACGTGGAAGACATCAAATTACTATTGCACAACATGTATCAATGAACCTCCAAAGCATGTCGGTGACTGTTTCACATGTTACCACACGTTAGAAAACTATAAGATATATAATTTTGATTGCTTTTGTCATAAATAAGTTCCTCAATGTCCATAATTCCATTATCAGCCAAATATCATTATAATAAAATAATCAATTCCAACGTTATACTATTTAATATGAAGTGATTCGTTTTTCACTATTTCATAAAAAATGCAGTTGAGTTCCTGGTAGTTCGTCCGTGAAGATGTCTCCAAGTGCAAAAAGTGTTAAAACATAAATCCTGACACACAAAGAAACTCTGCTCAAGGCTGGGCATTGCGGCTCACTCCTGTAATCCCAACACTTTGGGAGGCCAAGGCAAGAGGATTGGTTGAGCCCAGGAGTTCAAGAGGAACTTGACCATGTCACTATTTAAAAAAAAAAAAAAAAAGGCCAGGCGTGGTGGCTCATACCTATAATCCCAGCACTTTGGGAGGCCGAGGTGAGAAGACTGCCTGAGCCTGTGGGTTCAAGACCAGCCTCAGCAGCATGGTGAGATCTCGTCTCCACAATGCATTAAAAAAATTATGCCAGGCTCTGTGGCTGAGCCTGTATCCCAGCACTTTGGGAGGCCGAGGCAAGTGGATTGCCTGAGCCCGCAGGTTCAAGACCCACCCGGGCAACTTGGTGAGACCTCGTCTTTACAATAAATCAAAAATTAGCCGGGCATGGTAGCGTATGCCTGTAGTTCCAGCTACTTGGAAGGCTGTGGCAGAAAGATCACCGGAGCCCAGCAGGTTGAGGCTGAAGTGACCGGGAGTGTGCCACTGCGCTCCAGTCTGGGCAACAGAATGAGACTCCAAATAAAAAAAAAATAAAAACTAGCCAGGTATGGTGGTACACGCCTACAGTTCCAGCTACTTGGAAGGCTGAGGCAGAAGGGTCACCTGAGCCCAGCAGGTCGAGGCTGTGGTGGCCGTGAGTGAGCCACTGCACTCCAGCTTAGGTGACAAAGTAAGACTCCGACTCAAAAAAAAAAAGGTTTATTAATGTACATTTCTATATCTACTTACTCAACATGAATCCTCTGTTTAGAAACAAGAGTTAGAGTAAACGCTATATTTGCATAACAAGAACTCAGAGTGCTCATATATGCTGGTAAACTCTTAAGTATAAAACCACAAAGTAAATGTTTAACCATTAGATATTCTAACCAAATGAATAGTGAGAGAGTAAGATACTGGTTTTGATAAATAAGAGCAAAAAGGTTGTTTACTCAATACAAACCCATTAATGTGTTCCTCTCCACCACAGCAGCAGGCTTATCTCCATCACCACATGCAACTTGCTGAGGTAAGCAGGCAGCCAGGGACAACGGCAGAGCATCCTGCCAGACTAAGAAATTCAGTAGGTAGGAGGCTGTCACACAGTCATACGGTTTGGTGCTTGTGCTGAGTTCTAGCACTGCCTGGAATAATGCTTGCACTTTCCCTGAATCCTAGAATAAAGCACAGATTCAGGAACTGTCAAGTTAAAGATTTCTTTAATTCAAAAACATGGCAAATATTTAAAAACACAACCTGCCACCCATACTGGAGTGCAGTGGCATGCTCACACCCATCGCAGCCTCAACCTGCTGGGCTCAGGCGATCCTTCTGCCTCAGCCTTCTAAGTAGCTGGAACCAGAGGTGCGTGACTCCACACTTGGCTAATTTTTTGATTTACTGTAGAGATGAGGTCTTGCTAAGTTGCTCAGGATGGTCTTGAACCCCTGGGTTCACGCAATCCTCTCGCCTCCACCTCCCAAAGTACTGGGATTACAGGCATGAGCCACCGCACTCAGCTCAATAAACGTTTTTTTGTTTTGTTTTTGTTTTTGTTTTTTGAGAAGGAGTCTCACTCTGTCTCCCAGGCTGGAGTACAGTGGCACGCTCATGGTCACTGCAGCCTTGACCTGTTGGGCTCTGGCGAATCTTCCACCTCAGCCTTCCAAGTAGATGGAACTATAAGTACGCACCACCACACCTAGCTAATTGTTTGGATTTATTGTAGAGACAGGTCTTGACAAGTTGCCCAGGTTGGTATCGAACCCTTGGGCTCAGGCAATCCACTTCCCTCCTCCTCCCAAAGTGCTGGGATTATAGACATAAGCCACTGCACCCAGCTCAATAAACTTTTTTTAAAAACTGCCTCTTTCGCATTCAGCTTCACATGGTAGTGGTCATTGCTTTGCTTTGTTAAAATCTGGTGACTCCACGTGGCTCTCTGAGCTATGGCCATCATGTTTTCTTAGCTTTGGTTCCTTCCCCTACCTTAGGGAGGTGAATCCCCTCTCTCTCTCTCTCATTTACTTTCTAAATAAACTTTGCTTGAAAACTTAAAAAAGCCAGGCTCAGTGGCTCAGCTTGTAATTCCAGTGCTTTGGGAGGCTGAGGTGAGTGGATTGCCTGAGCCCATGGGTTCGAGACCCACCTGGGCAACTTGGCAAGACCTCA